CAGACACCAACCCTGCACCAGCTGGCAAGGTCGGCACGGGAGGCAGAGAGCCCTGCGTAGCCCTGGACCAGCACAATCAAGGGCTGCTCATCCTCTAATGCCTTCCTAAACCCCCACCCCAGGCCATCTCCCTGAAGTGCCCCCCACTGCGCTGCCCAGCCCCCGCTGCCTGCTGCAGCAACACTCATGGCGCCCCCCCCTGCTTGTGCTCGTGGCTGTGGGCAGCCCCTCGGCTGGTGCAAGCCAGGGCAGCGCCGTGTACCTCAGTGCAGTCCCTGTCTCACGCTGAGCTAGCAGCGGAATGGCAAGCCCAGAGCCTCTGCCTCCTGCTACACCAGCGGTCCCCAGCCCCTCGACCGGGATCTCCCGGTGGATCTCGGAGCCTCTGACGGGATCCTGACCGGTTTGGCCAGGAGGCTGTCAAGTGCCGGCGCGTCAGCTGCCCCTCTCAGCACTGCCGTGCCGCTCCTGCCTCTGCCTCGGAGCTGCCCCTCCCCCTGGGAGCCTCCTGCTTGCTGTGCAGGGCATGGGAAGAAGGGGGGGTGCTGATGTCAGGGTGCCCCTCCCCCCACCTCCACAGAGCAGGGGAGCAGGGATGGAGAGAGTTTGCTGGCTGCGCATGAGCCCTCCTGCCACGCTGCGTCATCTCAGGGTGCTGCAAACAACTCCATGAACATTGCAAGAGGTTTGTCCTGACGCACACATCAAACCGTGGCAGCCTGAGCTCTCCTGGAGACAGCCACGAAGACGAGAAAAGCTCGATCACCCCGACCAGCCGCTCAGCCATCCAGTCGGTCGCCCTGAGCTCCGTTGCCCATGGGCAGCAAGCAGGCATGGCACACGGCCAGGGGCTTAGACAGGCCAGTCACCAGCACCAAGCCCGCAGGCCAGTGGGAAATTCATTCCTGTCGCTCTCAGCAGCAGAGCACACGTGGGGCTCAGGGTGTCAGGGAGGGGCGGTGGGGAAGGCCGCCATGCTGTGTGTGCACAGAGCCGCTCTGCTGGAGCCACACTGGTTACCAGCAAGGGCTGCCTTGACTTTATAACCGCTAGGGTCCCACGGGCTCTCCCGGTGTCTGATCGTTACACCCAGCCGGGGGTCACTAAGGCAGGAAACGGTGCAGGGGATCCAGGAGGAAGTCTGGGTGGGTGGAGGGACACGAGGAAACGAAAGGGGGCCGTGGTCATGCGGAGCAGAGGGAAGGCGTGGGCAGGACTGGGAAAGGCCATGGCTTGGGAGACATCCAGCTTGTCTGTTTAACGCTTCTGTCTCGGCAACGCCCCGCAGCAAGGTTTGGGCTGCAGAGGTTTGGCTCCCCCCCCCGGAAACCAGCTCTGGCAAACCAGGGCTAGTGAAGGGAGCTGCCCAGGTGGGACTTTATGGGCCACGTCAGTGAGTTTGCATTTGGCAGGATTGGGGCAGGTAGAGGTCAGAGGTCAACGCTAAGCACCAGAGTAGGTCAGGAGTGACTACTTTCCAGGCAGGCCAGTCCCTGGAGGATGTTCTCCTGGTCTTGACCCCAGGGTCAGCAGGGACCCTCCTCTGTGCACATGGCTGAGGATGCAGGACGCTCCTGTGGACCCCCCGGACGATCCTCCCTCCAGAGCGAGGGCAGTGCAAAGTGGCTGTGCAGTGCTTGCCCAAGGCTCCGGACGCACGGGGAGGAGGAAGGGCCAGTTTCTCCAGGAGCTGTGTCCAAGCAGGGCCCGGCGCCTGTGTTTTGTTGTGGGCGGAGGCTGTTTATAGTTACCACATGCCTGGTAGGCCTGGTGTTGTGCTTGCGAAGCTCTGTGATTAGCTCAGAGGTCGCTGTGTCCTCTCCATCGGGGAGGGAGGGGAGCCAGCCCGTGGCGAGTGGGGGATGGACGGGGAATCCCAGCTGGGGGGCGGGGCCGCGATTGCCGCCAGGAACCCTCAGTCGGTCGAGTGTGAGGGGGAGGGGAAGCCTCCTCGCTC